CTGCAGAAAAAATTTTATTGGAGGTGGTGGGAGTGGGCAGTGAGTTGGAATCTGTGCAGAAGAACCGTGGGGTACTTTGTATTAAAAGACCTCTTTGCCATTTCCCCTCCTTTTGGCGCAGTTTTAAAACCTTTTCGTTTAAAAAACTAAACTTGCCACAGGTGCTCCTGCAACACGTTCTATCAATATATCTTCACCCTCGGCTTCACTTGTGCGTGTGGTTCGTGAGGTGCCAAAGCAAAAGACATGCGCCAATGTTTTGTGAAAATGGATCTGGACTTCTTTTCCTTTTATTCATGATAGAGCACATGTACCTGAAAGAGAGATACGCACCCTCTGCAGGGTCTGCCTCCAGTCTCTGGGGTCTTTGGCGACCACCTGCCTGCTTGTGTGTTCCGGCTGACCAGGATGGGGATTTCCAGTGGATCACCAGTTGTCATATGGAACCCGTTTTCTCTTGAGTGGTGCATCGTTGTGCCATGGAGCTGGCTTTATTATTATTATTTTTTAAAGAGGTTTTTGCCTTAAGGTTTGTGCTTCTCCAGAGACAGACAGAGAGACAGAAATCGCCTGGGGCAGAGGAGAGATGGCCATGCAGCAGTCCCTTCTCCATTCTCCTCTTGGGATTTTGGGCCGCGCACATGCGCAGTTAGGCCACTAGGTCTGGGACTGGAACCCTTAATTAAGCCACCGAACCTGGTAGACTAGCTGGGGGTCCACGATGTAACCATTATGCCATTTGTTGATCGCAGAGCTGGCTCCTTTCTAAATTAAGATTTATTGAGGTATAATAATTGAGTACATACTATCAAATTCATCTGTTTTAAATGTAAGCTCATGGGTATTTATAGGGTATTTGGTATGTTTACACAGCCAGCACACCTTAATTTTAGAATTCTATAACACCCAAAAGCAACATTGTGTCTAGCAGTCACTCATTCCCTTCTCCCCCTCCCCCAGCCAGCACTAATCTGCTTTCTTTCTATCTGCACAAACTTGTGTACTCTGGACTTTCACGTGCAATCTTACTATAGTTGGCCTTTTGTATCTTTTTTTTCCCTAGGCGTCATTTTTGAGATTGTTTTCGCGTGTGTTAATAATTTAATTCCTTTTATGTTGCCAGATAACATTCCGTTTGGATATACCACATTTGTGTATCTGTGCATCAGTTGATACACCTTTGGGTTTTTTCCTACTTTGGGGGTATTACAAACAATGCGGCTGTGCATATTTGTGAATAAGTCTGTGTTTGGATTTTCTCTTGAGTAGTCATCCAGGAGTGGACTTGCAGGGTCAGATAGTAACTCTCTGTTTAACTTTTTGAGAAATCCCCGCATTGTTTTCCCAAGTGGCTATACCCTTTTCTTGGGTTGTTGGAAAAGTCATGACGCATTTTTTTTTTTTTTTTTGCATAGAAAAATGCATCATGATTTTCCTGGGGCCCTAATACATTCTTGCAGCAATTTGAAGGTTCTCGTTTCTCCATATCCTCAGCATTCATTTTAGTCTGTCTTTTTGCTTATAGCAATCCTAATGGGTGTCAAGTGTTAACAATTTTTTTTTTAAGAGATTTTTGCTGTAGGGCTTGTGTGTTCACCCGAGAGACAGAAAATGAGGAAGCACCCCCGGGGGTATAGCCACACCACAGTCCCTTCTCCAGTCTCCTCTCTGCATCTTGGGCACACACATATACACCAAGCCACTAGGTCCAGGACTTAGACTGTGGTTGGCCACGTGGGAGTGCAGCACCTTAAGGCCCCAGCAATGTAGTTTGGGTTTGTATTTCTGTAATGGCTATAGGATGTGGAGCATCTTTTCCTGTGCATATTGGCCACTTGCATACTGTATGTTTGGTTTTTGTTTTGTTTTCAGGTTTTTGCCATAGGACATTTGCACTTGCTGGTTCGAGTCCCAGATGAGAGATGATGAGAGGGAAAGTGAGAAATCACCCTCAAGGGGAGATGACCATGCCACAGTCCCTTTTTTTACACCCTCCTGAGATTTGGGGCATGCACCCACACATGCTGGCTTGAATTTCAAACCACAACATCTGGGACTCAAACCAGGTCAGCCCTGTGGGGAGTCCAGTGCCTTAACCACCATGCCACCCACTGGCCCCCCATACTGTATTTTTGAAGAAATGTCTATCAGATCCTTTGCTCTTTTCTTTTTTAAAATAATTTACTAGAGGATGCAGACGAAAAGAGAGAAGGAAAATGAGAAGCACCCTCCCCCTGTGGGGGATGGTCATGCCAAAGATCCTTCTCCATTTCTCCTTTCGGGATTTTGGGCATGCACACACATGTTCCCAGCCTGTTTTTCAAGCTGCCAGGTCTAGGGTTTGAACCATACAGTTAATCATGTGGGATCTAGACATCCCAACCACCATGCCAACTGGCCCTTGTTGCTCATTTAAAAATTGGTTTAAATGTTTCCCCTGTTATCAAGTCGTAAAAATTATTTTTTTTGGAGAGGTTTTTGCTATAAGGCACTGTGCTCTCCAGGAAGACAGAGACAGACAGAAAGCAAGAAATCACCCCCTAGGAGGAATGGCCACTTTGCAATCCCTTCTCCTGTATTCTCCTCCCGGGATCTTGGGCACACACACGTGCGCCCGGTGTGAGTTTAAGCCACCGAATCCAAGACTTGAACCTTGGTCGACTACATGAGAGTCCAGAGATGTAGCCATTACGCCATCTGCTGGTCCCGTCTTTATGTAGTTTTTATGAAAAATCACAAATAAGATATTTCTCCAGACCAAGCAAGAAGTGGAAAGAAGCTCAGGACTTTAGAATCATGGTTTGGATTGAAAAACAGCCTTCCTTATTTGTGAGCAAAGTTGCCGAGAGATCTTGGGCAAATTACCAGGTAATCATTTCTGAGTCTCCGGGACTTCATCTGTGAAATGAATTAATAATGTCCACCTTTTAGAGTTTTGGTGAGGATTAAATGAGAATGTGCTCTAGTTGCTTAGCGTAACAGCTGGCACACCCTTAAAGGCATCATGTAAAGATTTATGCTGGGCATGGTGGTTAACGACATGGCTGACTGTGGTTCGAGTCCCAGACATGGTGACTTGAAATGACACCAGGCACACATGGATGCATATCCAAAATCCTGAGAGGAGAAGGGATTTTGGTGTCCCCTCCCACCTAGGGGATGATTTCTCACTTTCCCTCTTGCTTGCTCGCTCTCTCTGGTAAGTGCACATGGCAAAAACCTTTAAAAAAAAAAAATTATGCTGAGTTTTGGTGCCTGTCCTCTTCCGGAAGCCCACAGACTTTCCTTCAGGGATGACTAGGAAATTGGAACTAACACTCTGTAGCTTTGCTTTTGCCCATAAACCTCTCCATTTTTATTCTTCTGTACCTAAGTCTTTTAATTATCTTAACCACTTTTAGTTTTATTTAGATTTATTTGCAGCTAAAGCAATTGTTTTCTCCTACAGCTGGGAACAATGTAAAGAGTTACCATTTTATTTTAAACTTTAATGTTTCCATTTATGTGTCTGCTAAAGGAAAAATATCCTTTTAAAATTATTTTGGCAGCTTTTTTACGAGTAGGAAAACAACGCTTTGCGTCAGAGACCTGAGTTACCTCATTATCTTTTATCATTTTAAGCCAATCATCTGATGAGTTTGAGTCTTTGTAAAATGGGAAGGTAACGCCCCGCAGAGTTCTAGGGCAGTGCTAGTGAAAACATCAGCAAGAAACACAGTGGCTGTCATTGATGGGATTCCAATTCTCGGCTAGTCCTTTAAGTGCACATCTCCCCCCTCACCATCTCTGACATAAGTTGTTTTGCTTTGTTCACATCTTCTTCTTTATTTATCACAGACCGTGTGCGTGCGAACACCAGAGTGAGAGAGGAGAGAGGTGAGTGCCCTCCGAAGGGTCTGCCATGCTGGGATCCCCTTCTTCCAGCTGGACAGATCCTGGCACTTGCTCCTGAGCCTGGAGTGTTTCAGGATGATTGGGCTGGGGACTCGAACTACGGTCAGGAAGTGGGAGCTGACTTCTCTCACACCGCACTTAGCCCTGCACCACAGCGCTCTGTCCCCATTTTACAGATAAGACTTGCCCAGAGTCTCAGCTGAACTCAATTGCATTGAACTCCAAAGGCCTGGTCTGTCCACAGGCCAGGCCACTGGTCAGCAGTGTGTGTGGTTTGGAAGTTGCTCGCGGTACCTGTGTTGGTTCTCTGTTGCCTGCTGTAGTAGCTTTGGTGACACAATACATTATCGTTTTGTAGGTCGGAAGTTTGATATGTGTCTTACTGGCCATCACCACGGTGTCAGAAGGGACGGTTCCTTCCTGAGGCTCTAGTCAGAGAAGCCATTTCTTTGCCTTTTCTGGCTTCTAGGAGCTGCCTGTGTTCCTTGTCCAGTGGCCTCTTCCCTCATCCTCAAAGCCAGCCCCGGTGGTCACGTCATATCCCGTCATTTTCAGTTTGCTTCTGTGGCTGCATCTTTTTTCTGATCCTCTCTTTAGCTCTCTCTTCCACTCTTTTTAGTTTTGCTATGGGTCCTGTGCGCTCGTCAGAGTCAGAGAGGGAAAGTGATAAATTACCTCCCAGGGAGGATGGCTACTTCACAGTCCCTTCTCCATTCTCTGAGGATTCCGGGCACATGCACACGGGCGCCTGGTGTGATTTTCAAGCTGCCAGGTCCAGGACTCGAACCACAGTTGGCCATGTAGAATCCAGCACTTTATCCACTATGCTACTTATTGGCCCTCTGTCGCTTTTTTTTTTTTTTAGTTTTGTTTTAGGGCACATGTGCTCACCAGAGGGGGGGGGGAGGGAAAGTGAGAAATCACCCTTCAGGGGTGATGGCCACACTGCAGTCCCTTCTCTGCCAATCTCCTCTTGGGATTTTGGAGATGCGTGCACAGACGCTGGTGTGTTTTTAAACTGCTGGGTTCAGGGTTTGAACTGCACAGTTGGCCCTGTGGGATCCAGCTGCCTTAACCACCACACCACCTGCTGGCCCTCTCTTCCATTTTAAGGACATTGGGATTACACTGGGCCCAGCCAGATAATCTCCGTCTTCAGGTCAGCTATCTAGCACCCTTAATTACCCCTTGCCATGAAACCCAGTATTGGGTTGTTGGAAAAGTCATGATGCATTTTGCACAGAAAAATATGTAATGACTTTCTTGACAACCTAATAGATTCAGAGGATCTGGGTGTTGGGATGTGGACCACTTTGGGGAAGGAGAGGAGAGACAGGTCTGCCCATGGCAGGACCCGTACCTGTTGGGTCGGTTGGGAGGGAGGATGGTCCAGGCCTTCCTCTAACTGTGACTGGTTGGCTTTGCAGGAGGTCCTGCCGGGAAGCGGCTGCAGCATGTGAGTGCCCTCTGGCTGATCAACAAGCCTTGCTGCACCCCTCTTCTCATTGTCCTGCTCCTGTGCCCCATGCCCAGAGCTTGAGAGTCACCCCAGCACCTCTTGCCTGTTGATTCTCACCCTAACTGTTTTGATGTTAGTGAAGATAAGGGTCTAGTGGAGGGCTTCCTGGCAGGGAGCCTGATTCCAGGAGGAGGAAGGGAAGCCCTTGGTCAGGAAGCGGGGAATAGACTGCCCTGGGCCCCTTTTATACACCCTGCAAAGGTTCCCTTTCGTTGGAGTCTGGGCTTTGGAGATGTAATGATGATACCTGTGTTTTTCAGGTCCTGGAAGGGCAATGACTTCTGGCCCTCTGCTAACCCGTTGCGGGGCAATGCAGTATTCAAGGAGCAGAAATCGCTGGGTGAGTTAACCTGGGGGTGGGTGGTGACCTGGGCCTGCAAGTGAGGCCCAGTACCGCCGTTAGGATCCGCCTAGTTTCTGCTCTGCTTCCTTCCACGTGGTAGCCGTGTCCTTCCTTGGCCGCGAGTATCCTCCCTCCTGGCATATTTGCTGTTCCTAACTCTATGTCATCTTACCCTACACCATCTCCACAGTGATCTTTCTAAAACCCAGATACGCTGATGTCGCCGCTGCGGCTAAAACCTTTCACCTGTCTCCCAGCCCGTGCAGTGAGCTGTAACTGCTGTGATTTAGCGCTCAGCGATTTCAGACTCTGGCCTCACCTGCTTGTGCAGCCTCCTCTCACCTCACACCGCATGTGGGCTGCAGCCCAGCTGTTCCTGACTGCCTGCAGTTTCCCAGCCTCACTCGGTGCCTTCGCATGTGCCCTTCCCTTCCGCCTCCTGCACTGCCCCCTCCGCCCTCCCTCAGCTTAACGTGAACTCTGGGAAGTACTGCCCCCTGGGTCCTAAAACACTTCCAAGTGAAAGCACTGGGATCCTGCTGTGTGTGTGACTTTCTGTTCCCCCCAGAGAAGGAGCTCCTGCCTTGAAGGCGGGGCTGTGGGTGTCCTGCACTTAACCACTCTGTCACCCTAATAAGTACTTGCCAAGTAACTGAGTACAATGTATGGCAATCCCCCCTCTTCCATGGGGGATTCATTCCGAGATTTCCAGTAGGTGCCCCAAAACAAACCCCATATGCTAGCTTCTTTTATACATACTTATCTACGGTGAGGCTTTATTGATGAATGAGATATAGTAAGAGATTAAGAACAATAACTAATAGTGAAAGAACAGTTATAACAATGACCAGCATTTTCATCCTGTGCTTTGGGGCTATGGGCACTTGTGTGTGTATGCCCAAAGTCCCAGGAGGAAAATGGAGAAGGGATTGCAGTGCGGCCATCCCTCGTGGGTGGGTGGGTGATTTCTCACTTTCCCTCTCACTGTCTCTCTCTGGCAAGCGTGCACACCCTATGGCATAAACTCAATAATAAGAATATTAATAACGGTGACTTGAACATGAACATTGCGATTCTGCTGCAGGTGACCTAATGACCCAGGGGGCTCGTGGGTACGTAGCATGTGCAGTGTGGATAAGCTGGACAAAGGGATGATTCACATTCCAGGCAGGAGCAGGAAGGAGTAAGATTTCATTATACCATTGAGAATGGTGCATAGTTTAAAATTTATGAATTGTTTATTTCTGGAATTTTCCGTTTTATAATTTTCAAACTATCCTTGACCATGGGTAACTCAATAGGTAAATGAAACCATGGAAAGGAAAAGTGTGCGTAAGGCGGTACTTGTAACCACGCAGCGTTCACAAGGGGATAGATGTTTGCCCGGGGATACGAGTGTGTGAACATGGAAGAAAATGTGTGCCCGTAACCCGTGTTCAGCTCTTCTGGATCCTCTAACCTTACACCTGCCTTGTTAATGCCGTTTTTCTTAGGGTTCAAGAAAAGAGAAACGGAGGTGTATGTTGGCAATCTTCCACTGGATATCTCTGAGGTAGCCTTCACTCTCCCCTTCTTATTTTCTCTGGCCTTCCCCATATAACTTACTAACTTGCTAGTAACTTAATTTTACCGTTTTTTAAAGACATTTGACAACTACGAAGGTTCAAGTGGTCACTAGTGACAGTTTGCCTTGGACTGTCTCACTTTTAGTTAAATGCTAAAAAGAGCTGTACAGTTTTATGGTCATATAAGTGATTTCCATTTCTCCACTTCCTTGCCCAAACCTATTGTTGCCTTGTTTTTATTAATAGGCATTTAGTGGCTGTAAAGTTGTATTTCCTTGAGGCTTTAATTTGCATTTTCTCACTATCAATACTGTCTTTTCATGTGCTTATTGGCCATTGTATCTTTTCTTACAGTTTTGTATTTCAGTTCTTACATTTAGTTCTATAATCCTATTTGAATGAATTATTTTAAGAATTCTTTCTTTTGGGACCAGCAGTTAGCGTAATGGCTATGTTGCTGAACTCCCATGTAGTTGACCGCAGTCCTGGACCTGGTGGCTTAAACTAACGCTGGGTGCGTGTATGCCCAAGATCCCAAGGAAAATGGAGGAGAAGGGATTGCGGCGAGGCCATCCCCCTGGGGGGTGATTTCTCGCTTTCTGTCTCTCTGTCTCTCTGGCAAACACATGCGCTCTGTAGTAAAAACCTCTCAAAAAAAAAAAAAAAAAGCTTGGTGTCTTTCTTTTATTTGTTATTATTATTTATTTTTAAATTTGACCAGAGAGAGAAAAATGTAAAGTGAAAAAACAGGCTGACAGGTCTGGGACTTAAATTGCAGTCAGTCATGTGGGAATCCAGCACCCCAACCACCATCCCACCTACTGGCCCCTTGAATTAATTCTTGTGTGTGGTGTGAGGTAGGAGATCCAACTTCATTCTTTTGCATGTGGATATTAAGTTGTCCCAAGTATCATTTGTTGATAAGACTATTCTTTCCTATTGAATTATCTTTCTACTCTTGTCAAAATTCAGTTGACCATAAATGTGTGATTTCTTTTGGATTTTTATTGTGTTCAATTGATTTGCTTATCCCTTTTGCATAGAAAAATATGTCATGACTTTTCTGATGACCCAATGTATTTGTTTACTCTAGCTGTATAGTACATTTCAAAATCATTCTCCTTTTTTTTTTTAAGTTTTGTTTTTCTTTCTTTCGTGAGAGAAGGAAAGAGAAACCACTTGCAGAGTCTCATGATGCTGAAACCCCCATCCCTCAGCCCTCTAGCTGGTCAAGATCTTGGGCATGTGCATTTGGTGTGTTTCAGGTCGACTTGGAATCCAAACCAGTGATTGGCTATGTGACTTCCAACACTGCAGATCGTATACTGCCACCCATGCCACTGTGACAGGGCCTCATTTGCTCTTTTTTAAAGTTATTTATTTGCTTCATGAGTAAGAGGCAGACTGAGAGACAGAGAGACAACACCCCTAACATCAGTCAGCCCAGAATCGTGAACCTACATGTGGCTGGCCTACTCAGGGTGACCTGCAGATGTGACCCTGAAACCTTCCCCTGTGGGTCAGTTTTGTCAACTGTACCATTGTCCTTCCCTGCCTCTGTTTCCTCTTGAACCCATTCGTTTGCATTCTACCTTCACCAGTTTTCCGAAACTACTCTTAGTTTCCTCTTGAACCCATTCGTTTGCATTCTATTTTCACTAGTTTTCCGAAACTACTCTTGCTGCGGATTCAGATAACCTACATGGTGCCAAATGGCGTAAAAACTTTCAAATGCCTTCTTTCTTTATAATTATGATCTGAAAACTCTCTGACAAGAAAATATCTGGAAATAGAGGCTAAAACAAGAAAATTAAGGGAGTCCAAAATAAACAATTGACTGAAGATCAGACAGTGACATGGTGGCAGAGGTGGCTGGATTCAACATGGCCAATTGCGCTATTAGAGTCTCAGACCTGCTGGTTTGAAAAAAATGTGCTGGGAAAAAAAAAAGAAAGAAAAGAAAAACGTGCTGGGTACATGTGCGTGCACACCCAAAATCCTGAGAAGAGAATGGAGGAGAAGGGATTGTGGCATGGCCATTGCCCCTGGGGGTTGTTTTCTCTCCCTCTCTGTCTCTCCCCAGTGAGTGCACATGCCCTATAGCAAAAGTTAAAAGAAGAAAAAAAAAAAAAAAGAAAAAGAAGGTAACTGAAAACCAGAAGAGTCTGGTTAACACCCCAGGGTCTTTTCCTGCCTCAAAACCCCAACAAGCTTGGATTATAATAGCTGTGTTGTGATTGGGCCTTTGAGAAGGGATGTGGTTACTAACCCCACTGCGATAGCAGGATCCTTGAAAGGCTAGGCCTTTAGTTAAAAATGAACTGTGAAGATCTTAAGGCTGGCAAGGCGAACAGGTCCTAAGAACAGTAGTCCTGTTTTCTTGTGAAGTGGGGTTTGAATTCATATTACCTTCATGGTCTGGAACCATCAAGCTAAAAATTAATGCCTTGATAACATTAAAAACCCAATGCAGGGCTAGCAGGTGGCATAGAGGTTAAGGGCACTGGACTATTACATGGCTGACCATGGTTTGAGTCCCAGATCTAGAGCCTTGCTTTTTCTCTCTCTCTGTCTCTCTGGAAATATTAAAATAATAATAAGGTGGACCAGCAGTTGGCGTAATGGCTATGTCACTGGACTCCCATGTAGTCGACTACAGTTTGAGTCTTGGACCCGGCGGCTTAAACTCACTCTGGGTGTGTGTGTGCCCAAGATTCCAAGAGGAGAATGGAGGAGAAGGGATTGTGGCATGGCCATCCCCCTGGGGGGTGATTTCTTGCTTTCTGTCTCTCTGTCTCTGGCGAGTGCAGGTGCCCTGCAGCAAAAACCTCTCAAAAAAAAAATAATAATAAGTAAAGTTAAATATAATTCTCTTCTCCCTCCTCTAATATATGTGGGGAAAAAAATATATATATATATCATGAATGGAAGGAAAATACCTAAATCTGATGAAGAACATCTGCATAAAATATATAGAAAACATAATCATTTGAGGAATGGAAATATTTTAAAATCAAGAACAAGATGTAGAGGACCAGAAGTTAGCATAATGGCTATGTTGCTGGACTCCCACGTAGTCGACTGTGGTTCGAGTCCCGGACCCGGTGGCTTAAACTCACACCAGGCGCGTGTGCGTGCGTGTTCAAGATCCTGAGAGGAGAATGGAGGAGAAGGGATTGTGGGTTGTCCACCATCCCTCCTGGGGGGCGATTTCTCGCTCTATCTCTGTCTCTTTCTGGCGAGTGCACATGCCCTATAGCAAAAACTTCTCAAAAAAAGAAAAAAAATGAAAAGAAAAAGCCCATTGCCTATATACAAGAAGAACCAGAAATAAAACAATCTAGAAACAAGTCTAATAGAAGTTGTATAAGACCTCCATACAGAAGAATATGAAGCTTTATTGAAAGACATTAAGAAAGGCCTACATAAGCAGAGAAATAGCATGTTATTAGTAATAAGATACATTTTCTTTTTATCCCCCACTTTTGCCAGAGGGTGTGCGTGCTCAGTAGAGAGAAGAAGAGGGGAAAAGGTCATGCCACAATCCCTTTTCCTCCATCTGTCCCCCGTTTGGGGATTTTAGGCACATATATACATGTACCTGGTGTTTTTGTCAGGCCACCTGATCTGGGACTTGAACCACACAGCCAGCCTTGTGGGAGCTCACTGCCTTAACCACCAGGCCACAGAGCCAGCCAGAAGACCCAGTTCCATGATTCTTAAAATGATCTATAGGTTCATTATCATTTTGATCAAAATACCCAGAGCTTCTCCCATCAAACTCAGTAAGCATTTTCTAAAATTTACATGGAACAGAAAGTCTTATGAATAATCATGCCCTCCTGGAGATTAAGGGAGGTGGAGAGGAGTGCAGACTCCGCTGTAGTACGATGACCCCAGTGTGGGCGCCGTGGTTAATAACGGGCATATGAAACAGATTGGAAAACCCAGAAATAGAGCCAGCCTGTGGCTACTGCGCGTACCCGCTGACAAAACGACCCCCACACAAATGGACACGTGTGTGTGTGTGTGTGTGTGTGTGTGTGTGCGTGTGTGCGCGCACAAACCAGATGGCTTTACAGATGAATTGGGATAGAAAGAACTGTTCAGTAAACTCGTCTGACCTTTGGTTATCCATGCAGGGAGAATGAAATTTGGCCTTTACCTAACACACACAGAATGGTTTCCAGGTGGATTCAGGACTTAGAAATGTCGCTTCGTGACACAGCTTGGCTAGCTTTCCCCTGCAGATCAGGACAGGTGTGGGTACCGCCTGTTGGTACTTCTGTCGGCATCGTGCTGCTGGTCTTGATCCCTGCAAGTAAAGCAAGGAAGAATGACAAGAGTTAAGAGGGCTGGCCCTGTAGTACAGCAGTGAAGCACGACACAGAGGAAACCAGATCCCATGTGGCCTACTAGGGTTCAAATCCTGGCCTCTGCAGCTTGAAGAAAACATTGGGTGTGTATCCAGGATCCTGTCAGGATGGAAAACTGGAAGAAAAGGGATTGTGGTATGGCCAGGCCATTTAGGGCCTCTTTTCTCTCTTTTTCCCTGGCTTTTTCTCACATTCACCCTCTGGCATTAAAAATGAAAATGGCCAGCCTCATAGCCTAGTGGTTAAGGGAGCCAGAGCCCACATGGCCCACTGCTGTTCACATCCCAACCATGGGCCCTGGAAAGAAAAATGAAAGTGTCATTAATGACAAATGATACAATTGTGATGATGGAAACATGACTTCAGTTATCATCTGTATTCCTGGCTTGCACCTTTGTCTTGAAGCACTAAACTTGGATATTTAATTGCTTATTCATTATTTCTACTTGAATAAGTAAAAGGTATTTCCATTTTTTTAAAAAGTATTTGTTTATTGGGACCAGCAGTTGGCATAATGGCTATGTCGCTGGACTCCCATGTAGTCGACTGCAGTTTGAGTCCCGGACCTGGTGGCTTAAACTCACACCGAATGCGTGTGCGTGCCTGCCTAG